TAGAAACTAACTGCCTGGGATTGTGCACTGTTCACAGTTTCCTGGTAGCACATATTCAGATTCCCCTTATATTTCATATATATGTTTAAATGCAGGTATTAATAAAGATGATTGCTTTAAATGGCTTTATTGGGAGCTGATTGGGCTTCTTCCATTTCTAATTTTTCCTTGCTATCTCCCTATCCATCTGCCCAGAGTTGTTGGGAGTTAAGTGGTATACAATAAATAATTATAAAAATAATAACCCATCATATATTAAGATTTGAGGTTCAGAAAGACAGCCTTGCAACTTTGGCTTTCCCATCCCAGTCCTGTCTTCTCTGTGCATCCATTCAATTTCTGAACCCCTTCATTGGAAAACCTTGCTCTGGGAGGAAGCATATCCTTTCACCAATTCTTCCGGTCCAATCTTGCTAAAGATGTTTAGCATCATTTCACTGACCCAATAGAGAAATCAATAAACCTGGAATATCAGCAGTATTAAAGACATGTAAGTAATTAAGAGGCTAACACAAAGCATAATTTTATTCTGAAATAAATCCTGCCTACGTTTCCAGCTAGGGAATGGGACATGCTCCAAATGGATTTAGAGAAATTTGAGATGGGGTCTAACCAAAGCAAAATAAAGTTAAATGAATCCTGACTGTGATTTGGAAATTATTTTTCTGTTGATGCAGAGCCTAAAACTGCATTTGTCTTTCTTGCAGTCTAACTCATTTGCAATCCACTACAATTCCAATATCTTTTTCATATTACCAAATCAGATGTCCCACATTCTCTATAATTACCATGCCAGGTATTCCCATTTTCTAAGTGCATAGTGTTGTTGCCCAATGCACAAGAGGATCTACTACAGTACTACTACTAGGTAAGAACATTGGAATGTTCTGCTAAATTTCATTCTTTTACTTTCAACTCATTCCTCAACTATGTACATCATTTTAATTTTAATTTCAGTCTGTCCCACCCAGTTTTGTATCATCTGCAGATTGGATAAGCATGCCTTCACCTTTTTCTCTAAGTCCTTAATAAAAATAGTGAAGAGTAAAAGATCCAGGACTGCACCTTGTGCCACCTCATTTGATATCTCTTTCCAATTTGATGAGATCTCTTTGAATATAATTTTTGAACCTGTTCTATATCCAATTAATTGCGATGCCATCCATCCCACAATGAATTAGTTTGCTATTCAGTATTTCAGGAGGTACTTTTTCAAATGTTTTGCTGAAGTCAAGATATATGACAGCTACAACATTCCTACACTGCCAAGGAAGTTCCTTGATCAAAAAATGAGATAAAGCTGTTTTAGCAAAATGTGTTCCTGACAAACTAATTCTGACTGCTTGCAATTATCCATTGTTTTCCAATTATCTCTTGATGATCAGCTTTAGAATCTTCCCTGGTATTAGTGTCAGACTGACTGGTGTACAACTTGCTGGATCTTCTTTTTGTGTAGCTAAATGGTATTTCACTCATTCTCCAGGATTTCTCAAAGGTAATACACAAGAATTGGGCCAAACCACCAGCTAGTTCTTATCCCTATTTGAAAGCTCAGTGAATCATCCCCATCTTTGTATTGGTTCAGTAAGCAATAATAAACACTACCAACAGTATTGTTTTTATTTGAACCACTCTAACATTGCCAAGTTCCTTCATTTTGATATTTGAACAGAAATAGACATGTTAGCATTCAGTAAAACTCTCTCTGTTGCTTCTCATTTTGTTTTGTTTTTTAATAAATTGTATCCTTCAAGTGCTATATAAAATCAAGGAAGCCATCCTACTAGATCTCTTGAAATAACTATTAAGTCATATTTAATTTTCCATATGAAAAGCTCAGGCTCCTCTTGTTACTCCCACACTCTGAACCTCAGTGTTTAGATACTGAAAACTATGAGCTTTAAGAGTCAATATTCCTTCTGATATTTCACTGAATGACCCCATTTCTGCAACACTCCTACCTTCTACTGTGTACAAGTGTTCATCAGAGGTCCTACTTTATGCCTTTAATTTTCATCACTCACAGCATTTGGTTTAATGCCCCCTTAAATCAAACTAGTTAGACTGTGGCTAAATAGATTTTTTTATCATTCTTTGTGAAGTGCTATCCATCTCATGCCAACAGACCATCATGCCAACTCAAGCTGTGGTCCCAGAAGTAAAATCTTTCCTGAGAATATCATTTGTGTAGCTAGTCAATGAATTGAAGTATTCCTCTTTTCTTCTTTCAGATCTCTTCCTTAAACTGAGAATCACCTGAGCCCCCAAGGCCTTAACCTTCCTTCCAAAGTTTTTTTAAAGTCTTTGGTGATATAGTTGTGGCTGTTCTCCGAAGTATTATTTGTTCCCACATATATTAACAGGAAGCTATTATTGTACTTAAGAATTCCTGGAAGGTGTTCTATTACATCCTGAACTTTGTTCTTAGCAGACAGCATATTTCACAATGAATCCAATTGGCATTTGTATACATTCCTTATAGTAGTGATTCACCAACCACCATGACTCTTCTTTCTTATAGGACATCTTCTCTGACATTCAGAGATCCAGCAACTGTTCTCCAATTCTGTAGTGTCTCTTTCCTAAATGTTCAGAGTCTGTTTCATCTGCAAGGGTCTAAAAACTTTTTCTGGGTTGCAACAGTGTAGAATATCTTATACATCTTCTGCTTTTGACTGTTACTTCATGCACCAGACTTGTCCTCTGTTTGCTTGTCTTATGGAGAATTGCATCCACTATTAGATTCTGTGTAGCACTTCCTTTCTTTAAATTGAGAAATCTTTATCCTTTCTCATCAGCTGAACTATGGCCACTTGCTGCTGCAGTCCTTTGACTTTTCCCTTAAAGACTGCTATGAGTTTGCATTTACTCCAGACATATGTCAGGAGGTGTTGTTTTTTTTTTTTTCTGGCTGAAAAAGGAACATTCCACAAGTATTGCAGGCACAGTTGAGGACTCTTGTCCATTCATCTTCATGTTTGCTTTTTAGAGCGCCCCTAGTTGAAACTGCAATGTTCCTTTCTTGGGTTGGCCAAGTAGGAAGTAGCCACTCAAGACACAACCTTTGCAATCAGCAGTTATTCAGATGACTTCAGATGAAGCTCAACACAAAAACTTCTCAGAACAACAGCTTCACTCTCCCTTCTTCCTACTAAACTCCAACGTTCAACTTGTTCTTTACAAAAGGCAGCTCAGGATTTGAAGGGCAGCCCAGGCAGGCTTAAGTTGTCATGGCCATAGGTAGGGAGAGCAGGATAACTTTGGAATTGCTCCTCATATCAGTTCTATAAGGTAGACCAGACTAAGAAACCAATGCCATGTAGATCTAAAACTACTTTTATTAGAATGGCTGTAGTAACAGAATCTTCTGAGTGGCAATATGGTGTCCCACCCCCCCCCACTTTATCTTCATTGTGAATTAGGGAGGGGCCTCAGACATGTACTCATATTGGTTTCTTGGAATGGGCTTAAGCCATGTTTCTTTGATTGTTGCTTTGGTAATGATCCTTCCTCCTGTCCTTCAAGGGCATTCCCTTTTCCCTCTACACATCAGCACCTCGATAATTTATTAAGCAAGCACTCAGGTCACCTAATCCAAACCGTCCCCAATATGGTTAAACTTGTTTATATTCACATTGCAGCAATTATTTTTAGAGCAACATTTGTACTTATAAACAACCTTAAGCAAATACTGTGCAAATTGGCACCCTTTGTTTTGGGATGCCTAAGTAGCAACTACATGCTTCTAGTGGGAATAATACAAACAATATATCTTGCTGAATTGACCAGCTGAAACATATTAAAAATAGATGGAATGGGTGGAAGGGTCCGTGGAAGACCTATGCAGGAATTGTGTATGAAGGAAGTTCTAGAGGCAATAAAAAATCCCAGACAAATGTTTCTCCACCACTATCCATTTTTGTCCATGTGTGAAGGTTTTTATTTTTAATTTTCTACTATCAGCAATACCAAATAGTAATTTTTTTCTTGTACATGTGTTTTTTATTAAAGTATCTGGTAGTAATCCAGTCATGGGTTTTTAAAGGTATGCTTGCTTGTGTAGTTTACATTTGTAATACCTGCATCATATGTTACTTAGTAAGGCCAGGCCAACACTCCTGACTTGGAAAATCACGTAAGAAAGGCTCCATCTTATATTCTAGGGACAATTTGACAAAAGTTCATCAACCACTAATTGTGTAAAGAAAAGATTCCCCTTTTTTTAATTTTAATTTTAATTTTTATACATACATATACACACACACACACACATACACACATACACACACACACACACACACACACACAAATAAACTACTTTCAATATGTAGTTACTGTACATTTAATTACAATATATAGCTTGAATATGTCCAACCTTTTGGACTGACAGCGGAAACAGTTGGAGTTATGTTCATTCACTATGCTGAAATACATTTCCATTCACAAGGAATTTGCCTGATATCTTTGTTTGTATGAACAATGCAATCTGTGAGCTGGGACTTCACAGAGGTTAGCAAGATCATCATCTATTCATTTTAACATTGTCTCATTTTAACAATGAGCATTCAAGGTTACCAAAATTACAGTTATTTTTATGTAGTCATGCTGTTCATGAATACAGAATGTAGGAACTAGCTGAAGACTGATGTCATCAGTGCCCTACGTTTTGTATTGCAGTGGTCTGGTTATTGAAAAAATAAGATGCGGTTCCTATGAGAAAACAAATGTCCGGAAAATGAATAAAAATTTGCATCTTATATCCAACAGATAAATGAAATACCATGGGGTTTTTTTCTTTAAAGGGAAGACTTTTTTATTACAATCAGACTTAGCCCTTGCTTTTGAAATACCCCAAATCAATGCAACATAGGTTGATATAGATTAAATGCTTTTATTTTAGTTAATCGGAAGTATCCTCCTTTGAGTGTCTTCATCGCTGTTGCTTGATCATGACCTCAGCTTGTGTTCTCTTGATCTCTCTTTATGTTTTTTAAACATAGCTTGCTGACGATCAGGGATTGGTTTTGATGACCACTGTGGCCATGCCAGTATTTAGTAAGCAAAATGAGACTGTAAGTACTCCCATAGTCATCTGCTAGAAAATGAAGGCTTTAAACTAGCACACCTTTGAATGGCTTGATGAAATCATATGTATTTTTATTGTTAGATTTTGCTCTTTTCCCATATATTTGCACTAGCTGTTGAAATAAAAGCACACATTGTTAAGAACAATGAGCATTAAATACTTTTTGAAATATAGTGTTATGAGTTCATGAAGCACAAACTGAGAATACCAAGCTCTTTAATTGTATGTTTATTATAGCATGTGAGTGGGAAGGGGAATATGTCAAACACTATATAAAACCTAGGCACACTTACGTAAGGTTAATTATTTATTTCAATAGCATGTAAGTACATTAACCCCTCCTGGATTATGCGTATTATATCTCAAAAGTTTGAACTGGTTATACACTATCTGGCTGTGTAAAACTGTCACCTGTAGTAGCACTCTGCACATATACACAATCAACTATACATACACACAAACACAAAGGCAAATGCATGCAGTTTTATGGTTCCTATAAAATTCTTGATTGGAACAAATGTGTGTACTTACAGTTTAAGAGTTGTTTAAGGGAAACATAAGTCCAACAAAAGTTTTGATGTTTTTCACATTCTGCTGCATTTCTAAAGATACTTAGTTTTGCACTGCTTTTTACTTAATCTTCCCTTTGGGGTATCAGCCAGCAAGATCAGGTGGCGGGGGAAGTAAGTTGCGTATTTCCATGCAACATTTTTCCATGATACGCTTCCTGACTCAAAGAGTTTAACTGAAAGCATCCTTATCGGCTGAAACTTTGCACACCATCTGTGCTTTTCTTTCCAGGAGTGGGGGAAAAAGGACAACTGTTGATTTTAGAGATGTGGGTATTAGGTCCACGCAGCATCTCAGAGAGCCACTTTGCTTTGACTGAATGTTTCACCCAAGTACCCTTCAGTGTGGTTCTTCAAAGGAAAGGAGTCCTTGCTTCCAGATGCTGTGTGGGAATTGCTACATGGGCATCAGTGCAGTGATGGGTGCTGAGGTGGCTCTGTAAAATGAAGTGCCCTTCACATAGGCCTAGTGCTCAGGCAGGCAGATCAACTGCAGGGATCCTTACCAATACAAAGAAGAATTAGCTAGTTGTCTGTATTCTTTGGTGCAGTTTTAATCCATGTGGGAAATAATGATTGGTTGAATCCTTTTCTCTCCTTGTAATTGTTTCTTGTCCCAACATTTAATATATGTATATATTTTAAAATAGAGATCAAAAGGCATTCTCCTGGGAGTTGTGGGCACAGATGTTCCAGTGAAAGAACTTCTAAAGGCAATTCCAAAATACAAGGTAACTATCTATTTATAAAGTCAAAGTGAACTGCATTTATAGAACTGTAAATATAAAAATGTATAGAGCTAGGTCCAAAGAAACTCTTCTATGATGACAATTGTTTTTTGAACACAGCACAGAACAAGACTGGTGTAAGCAAAGAAGCCCATTCTACTTGTGCAAGGCATTGTACAATGCCTTGCACAAGATCTGGCATGATTACTGCTGTGGATGTATTCTTCTATACTATCTCAAGACATGTGCTCACTCCAAGATGGTGCATCAAATTCTCTTAAATTTCAGCAGCAGCAACTTTACTTTTTCAGCTGACGTTGTTGGATCCAGTTCATTGCTGGTCAGTGTAATAATAGATAAGCTTCTTATGAAAAATAAAGCACAAATATTGTCTGAGAAAGTTACCTTTAAGATCGCATCCCAAAATACCATCATGGAATCAGAAAATTATTTTCATACCTTAGATGTGAATCACACTGTAATTTACTGCATGGAAATAATTACTCATATCCTTTAAAAAGAGTTTTGTTTTTAAAGGTAAACTCTTCCACATTTGGACAATTTTTGCTAATACATTTTCAGTTTCTCGAAAGATCAGAATTTCTTCAGTACTCTGTCAGATTACCAGATTTCCAGGTATTTGGAGTAAATGACAATAGAATAAGAATGCCTTTATGTAGCAGTGCAATCATGGTGTTTTAGTAATTGTTATGCAATGAATGCATTCTTTTAATGGAAAATCTAGAAAGAAGGGTAGAACAAAGTTACATTTACACATGGTCTACTACAAGTGGACAATATAACAGTGGATAAATATAAACTCACACATGCAGTCATACACACGTATATTGCATGCTTCTGAATGTTTTTTGAACTCCAAAATAGCTCCCATGTTAAAATACTGTAATAACTAGTACAAATCCTATTTTTGGTTAGAAAATGTGGGACTCTCTGAAGCAACTTTTCATGCAATTATATTTCAGTGTACAGTTTTGGTTCCTAAGTGGGAAGTATTTTTTCTGAAGACATTTCCACTGGTAGTTTGACCATTTTTATGTTTGCTAAGTTATCTTAGCCAATAACATTGATAAACAGACTGCATGCATATAAAAAACAGGCAGAGCTTTGATTGCGCTGTTGGAGCTACCATCTTGACTTTTTTGGCCATACCCTATGGACACTCCTGTGTCTTTCTGTCCCAGATTTGGTAGATTCTGCATCACATTTTAATACCTGCTGTTTAGAATTCTAAATAACTTTTAGAGTTATTTGGGCTTCCCTCCTCTTTCCTCATCCATTTCCCCCCCTTTTTTGGTCGTGTCTTTTATAGTATAACTTTAAGGCCAGGCACTGTCTTGTTTTTATGGATTTATAAGCCCATCTCAGAGCCCTATTGGCTACCCAGTGAACTGTACATAAAGTCCCAGTGGTCGTGTTTTGCACATTATTAGTGATACTAAGTGGGGTTCAAAAGGTCCTTGAATGAAGAGAAAAACTCTTCCGCTTCTGCAAAGGACCCCCTTTAATTCTGTTGATTCCATCCTCTGCTGCAGAATCTCCTACTCTGTAACATATTCGGGCTCCTGAAAGCAGATTTCATGGTGGTGGTTGAGATGGTGGCAGTGGTGGAGAGTGTGTGTGTGGAAGTGGGAGGAAAAGAAGGGGAAAGAAAGCCAGATGACCTAGCAGGTCCCTGCTCACTTTTCTTTGGTTGAAACCCTCAGCTTCCTGGTGTTCTGTGCATTTACATCACTCAGGGGTGTTCACAGCATGACACACATAAAAATCAGACGGAGCTTTGATCACACTGTCACAGTCACCTTCTTGACATTTTTGGACCATACCCCAAGGACACTCCTGACATCACTATTTTAAATGTGCCTGATCAGGAGAGGTGGGTTAGCTTAAAATCATTGAGCTAGAAATTGTATTGAAAGGTCTTATCACTGCTTATTCAGAGAGTTTTAGAACAGAGCTGTATCCTCATTGTATAAAAATTCATAACAAAATAACTCACAAACAAAAAAACTCTCAGCAGGTTTTCGATGATTTCTGCATCCTGGGAGTAAAGCTGTGTTATGCAGGACATCCGTGAAAGCTATTAGCAGTGGGTTTTCCACTAAGGGATATTTTAATGACTGCATATCATTGATCTGAAGGTACATTTATTGCAATCAATGAGTGCACTCAACTGTGTAAGAGAAGCATTGTCAAATGGAATGGGATTTTTAGTGAAATAAGTATAGTGCTAAATTTGATTATGCATACACTTTTAGGCATAATATAACCCTGCATTATTTTAGATTGTTTCCCATAGCTGTCTTAGGTCTGAAATTGTAAATTTATTTTTATTCATATAGGATTATTGCCTTATAACGTGAAGAGGAAGAACTCAGAAGGAAGAAAAAAAAAACAGTACAAATTCCCACTTCAATTTTACAGTGTTTCAAAGGGAAGATGGGAAAAAATAAGTGTGCTTCATCTGCATGCCTTGACACACAAAGCAAGCTCCAATGTTCATTTGTGATGTTGCAGTGCAACATTTTAGATATCTATATAATTGTTAGTCCAGATATCACGTCCTCTTTGTCTTAATCTCAACACTGTTTTTTAAAAAAATCTCGCTTAACAAAGTGTATTTTAAATTAATTATGCACTTGTAAGTACCACTAAATTTAATGACAGAGGTCCCAAAATTAAATTTCTGATCTGTGTCTGATCTGTGTTTGTTACGCAATGACAATACATGATGTAGCAGCACAGCTAAGCCATAACTAGAGTAAAAAGTTAGAGATTTCACACCTTCTCTTCCAGAAGCCTACTAGGTCTACATACCCAGGCCCCACCTTCCTTCCTCAGGGTTAGCTGCTTAGTAATTTCTGTTGCCACTACCTGTCTTCTAGGAAGTACAAGAGATAAACAAATCCAAACTTTATTAGGAAAATAAGAGAGAGAAACTCAACGTTATGATATATGAAACCTGGTTTACAAAAATACATGCAACTTTCACAACAGAGTACAAAATTATTTTAGTCTATTATATTAGTGAACTAGGGCAGGATCTCTGCTTCCAAATTAGATTTCAGCTCACAATAAGTTCATAAAGAGAAAATAAATCTTCTGGGAAACAGCCTGAAATTATACAGAATGACCTACCTGTACCACAAAAGATCAAGAGGCAACAAGCCTTAACTAACACACAGGCAAAAGAAGTTAAAACTTAACATACCTCTTGACAGAAAGCATTTCTTTGAGATAGTTTCCCACTGTGTTGAAGCAGCAGTAGACCTGTTTTTAAACTAACCTTCTCTTGATAGAGCACTAGCCATTGGCTGTGTGTGCATGCGCAAGGTGGGTGCGGTCAGCTGTTTCCTACACTCCATCTTCAGGCTGGCTGGGGAGGGCTGCAGATAACATTTCATCCTCTTTTTCAATTAGGCTGCTGCAATTTTTTTTTTTTTTAAGTAACAATGGAACTAGGTCTGTCTTGGGTGATGTGAGAGATAACAAGCTTGAAAAATAAGCCTTGCACTTGAGCTTCTGCTTCGGCTCCAGTGTCACGCTGGGAACCAAGTGACTTGGGTCTTTCCTGGCTGTTTGTCAGAAGCTACTTTTTTGTTTCCTGCAGGGCTTTGAGGGAGAAACTAGGTGGCCTGGTTGCCTTTCTTCTTACTGCACCTCACAACTGTCCCACTGGCTTTGCCACACACCCTCAACTAGTGATCCTTGGGTTGGTGGAAATTGCTTTGTAAAGCAGGAAACTCTCAGCCTATCCCCTTCCTCTATTCTTTCTCTGTTGCATAGCCAGGCTTTTAAGATCAATGGTGTAGCGGTAATTGGGTCAGTTTTGCTTCTGTTGTTTCTCTCATTTCCTGAATTGACTGAAGCAAACTGTGCACAAAAGCATCCATTTCCCCACAAATGGTTAGTTCATTCTTTAAATGCCTCCCACCATTTCAGATTACCCCACCCCCCCTACTTTGCAGGACATAAAGCAAAGGTTCTCTCACCTCCCCTCTTCCAGGTCCTCCTGAGGCACTGAGACTACATTTAAATATGGGTTTAGAGTATTTGATGGATGTTCTCCTACCCCAATTGGTGATATTAGGAGGGAGGGAAAATAAATCAGGGGAATCCACCAGTTGCTTACTGTGTTGTGCATTCAGTCGTTAAGGGTAGAGACATTGACCTGCCATGTTACTGAGCAAGGATAAAGCCTAGCCTTTGGGTAGCAAATGTTAAGCTGGCATACTTTTATGCCAGTTTAAGGACTGGTAAATTGCACTTTAATATAGCCATGAAGAGCCCTAATCTACTTTACTCCAACGCCATTCAGTATACTTCTGCAGACCTTTTTAATTTTGCAAACCATCCTTTGCTTCCATCTTATTCCTGTGATTCATACATTACCTTTTAAAAAAGAATAAAACCTCCATATGCTATCCAATAATGACTTTCTTCATCTTCTCTTTCCTCTCAATTATTATTTTTTTCAATTATTCATTTTTCCTCTGCAATTTTCTAATGCTTTGGGACATGAACCGCCAGTGGCGGCTCTCTTTCTCTGTGAGGTGGCACAAATGGTTTGTAGGGCTTTTCTGAACTTTAGTAACAATCAACACTGACGTAAGTTCATTCTGAACATAGAGCGTTCTAAGGAGATCTGTGGTGGTTGACTTAGGGCAGTGTTTTTCAACCTTGGCGGCTTTAAGATGTGTGGACTTCAACTCCAGCCAGGAGCAAGCTGGCTGGGGAATTCTGGGAGTTGAAATCCACACATCTTAAAGCCACCAAGGTTGAGAAACATTGTGTTAGGTCCAGTTAAATATTTCTCCTTTTCTTTATATAGTATTCCTCTTCAAAGGTAGCTGGCCACATTGGCTGTCTTGGTATTGACCCTTGTGGGTGGGAGTGATAAAACAGGAAAAGGAATTTATATAAACAATATATTTCTAGACCCCCATTAGGGACAAAAAACTCAAACCCTATTACATTGGTTTTCAGGAAAGGAATAAAACTTGAGTGGAGGAGGGAAACAGCCTTAAAAACAGAATACTAAAAAGTCCAGACCACTCTCTAAAACACTAAAATTTCATTTCCAATTGAAATTCTGGAGAGGCAGTAATCAAGAATGAGGGGAAAACCTGAATAAAGAAATGGGGTGCAAAGGTAAACTGTTACAATGATTGGTTTTTACATCCAGTCAGCGCTTTTGTTGCCAAAGGTGCATAAATCTTATTATCTTATTAATTGCAGTATTTATATTGCTATAATGCTATTTAAATTTGCTTTAAACTTAACACATACAGCAGCTTTTCTCAACAGGGCTGTCCTACAGAGGTCAACTCCCAGACTTCTCAACAGTCCTCTAGAGGACACACAATTTGGGGAAGGCTGTGAGTTAGAGAATATATGCAACTAACTTGTGCAACATATAAACCAACTGCATGTTTAAAGGGCAAACAATAAAAGGTCCAGTTTTCAGGGAAGTTTTCTTACAAAATCCCAGTGGGAAGCTGGGCAAAATAATCTCCAGCTGGGGTTGTGTTGCAGATATTTGATTTGTTGCTTTTCAAAGGACATACTTATTCTTTCTATTGTTGTTTTTGTTGTTCCTTACAGCTAGGTATTCACGGATATGCATTTGCAATTACAAATAACGGATATATTCTGACTCATCCTGAACTCAGGCCTCTGGTAAGGTCGAGAATTTGCTGGTGGATTTATAAGTGCTTGATGAAGATTTTTCTATTTTTTTCCCCCTTCCTCAACATATACCAAATGTAGCATTTAGAGTTTAAAAAGGACAAATTAGTGGCTTCTACAGGAAACTGTTTTAAAAAGTAGTTGATTAACATAAATGCTGCAGACATTTTAGTGTGAGATCCAGCACAAATGACAATGCCAGTTGTTTGGTGAGAGAGACAAGCGCAAGTTTCAGAATAAAGGGCCCAGACACCTAACAATGCAGAAAGGCAAAGCCATAAATTGCAGTAATTATATACACTTATATTGAAATGGAATGCTGTGCTTCTAACTAAAAGCCCCTATTTGTCATGTTTAAATAGACTCTAATTTATAAATTGTGGAAATGTTATACAAGCTCTCTCACTTCGCTCTTTAAAAAAGAAATCAGAACAAGGATCTTTCCCAGCTTTAAAAGAAAAATAGCAACATTCACTTCCATTACTATTATTTCTATCTCTCAGTTAACCAATATAAGAAAAGATTTTGTGGTGTTGTGTCTGTTCTTTTAATGTTTATTTAATGGTAGCATAGGCTGTAGTTTGGGTGTGTGTGTGTGTGTGCATAAGATTCACTAAACATTAATGGATTCACTAAAATATTAGATGGATGCTATTTCTCAGGATAGGCACAGACTGTAATATCAGAATTCAATAATAAATTAACAGAAGTAATAAGCACATTTATCGGAAGGCTGTTTGCATATCATAAATTTGGAATCATTTGATTCATTGTTTATGAAGCTGTGATTGCAGCTTGCACATTTATCCCTCTAAACATTTGGATTTGGCTTAGTTAGTATTTACATTTGAGCAGATTCAATCAGGAGATTAAAAGATATTATCAGGACACCAGAAGTCTTCTGCCTAGATTTCCATCCTGTACCTCTGTAGTTCTATGTTAAAGTGTAACAACACTGAAGAAAAATATTATGTTTTTGAATCAGCCCGTTGTAAAAAATGCTCTGAAATCTTTCCCTGCTACCTTCTCATGGGTATGAAGGAGGTCAGTTGTTGCATCCAAATTATAGAGGTGAAAAGGTAAAGAATCCCTGAAATCAGCTAAGGGAGTTCATGGGGTGAAGTGGGAAGGAGCTCTTGATGATCAGCACAGGTCTTCTCTGTACTTGTATCTGATACAGTCCAGCTGAAAATGTGCTGAATTCATGAGCCCAGCTGGCAGGTAAAAGACATGGAGCATGTGGTAAAGTGGGAGGAAGTAGATGATCACAAGTGAGCTCCATCTTCAGATAGGCCTTTAAAGGAATGGTACTGCTGGCAGCAAGAGACCAAGTCATCTCATTCTGACTTTGGGGCTGAAAGTAGCTACTGGATAACCATGGGGAACATACACACTAGAGTAATCTTCTGGATTTACTTGAATATAATGGCAACAGTCATGACTATGACATCTGGTGCCAACAAAGCAGAAATGAAAGAGGCAAAATGGAGTTGTGGAAAGTGCTGGTAAGCATTATGAAGGCAGATGCCTCTGCAGAAGCAAAATGGCGACTCCTGCAGGTGAACCCAGGGGTGGTGACCAGAAGGCAGTGGCTGCCTCCAGTAGGAGCTATGGTTGAGTCAGAGGAAACATCATGAAGACATGGCAGGGAAAAAAAAAGGTTATTAAATTGGTGCCATGGTTAGGGCAGGTGAGGAACTGCTCTAAGTGTTGCCATGCTAAAAGCTGCTTTGTAGTCTTAGTAGAAGACAGAAAAGTTCTGAAACTTTTTTAGCACATGTCAGGAGGCTTTCAGTATATTTCTGAAGTAAACACTGTATGCAGCTTGGCATGCCGTTATGAATAATAGTTCAAGAGCCTGTTGCAACGCTTTTATGCTTTATGTATGTCAGGTAAGTTCTAATATTTTATTTGAAAATTTGGCCAGGCTACAGTTTCTTGTTAAACGAGCTTTTTACAAGTGTTCTCATTAAAAAAAAAAAAAGTCATAAAAGATAAGAGTAGGAAATGAAAAAAAGAATTTGGAGTGACTTTGTTTCTTAAAATAATATCCACTATGGAAATCGATTCTTTGATGCTTTTGAGATGCTCACAAAAACCACGATCCAATACTAAGTTGTATGTCCTTAAGCCTACTGAGATATGCACATTTAAATTTGAATTGGACCATTGCCATGGTAAATGAGAGTTACAACAGACACAGGGTTTCCTATTCTGTCAACTTCTCTTTATTTATGGCTTTGCCATTCTATACATTAAATCTCATAAATTCCTTGTTTCAGAGGGATGTATGTAATGTATTCTAACAATAATAAATGATCCAGGACTGACTAGCAAATGATGTAATTCATGACAGCAGGTTTTTAAAAAATGGGGGAAAGTGGTTATGCTTTCCATCCTCACATCACTGACATTTCTGGCTCATTACCATACACAATCATTCCACTAAAAAGATCACAGATAAATAAAGCTATGAACCTGGAGTTCAGTACCTTATATTCTAATGCCATTTCTAGTAGCCTAGATAAATTGGCCCATAAGTTTGAAAAATACACCCCATATACCATCATCTTGGTTACAGGGTCTATACCAAGCTGGTGTCTTCCTGATAGGTTGGGAATAACTCTCCAATTCCCAACTCATAGTTGCTGGGAATTCTGGGAATTGTAGTTCCAGACCATCTGGAGAGCATCAGGCTGCAGAAGGCTCCAGTAAGTTATGCTGCCCAGAGATGCCTCTGGCATGAAGATCAGTTGGTGAAATGAATTCCAATGATCAAACTGTAACTGGTAATAACTAATGATAGGAAATTCCCATTTGATGACCAACAGTTTGTTTGTTGTTTAAAGTGGTGCTGTGATTGCTAGAATTGTTTATTTCATGGGGAAATGGAACTTCTTTTGGCCCAGAAGACATTATGCGTATGAAGTAATTGCGTCACAAAAATTGCCCTCAAATCACTTCAGTTTCTAAGATTTAGAGGACTGGATTTGTTTATGTTCCTTGCTTAATAAAATATTAGCAAGACAGAAATGAAAAAAACGGTAACATGCTAAGGGTAGCCAAATACCTGCTTCATTTCTTTTTTTTCCTGGAAACACAATGTCAGTTCAGTGATTAGCCCACAATTCCATTCCAGTTGTTTTGCAGGACCAACAGGCACTGGGTTGTGGAGTACTTGAAAGCAGTTTAACAATAAGTTCCTGTTTACCTATTTGGAGACTAACTTGATAAGATATGCTCAGGTCTTAGTGACTTCCACATATGTTAACTTCCATCATCACTAGCTGGTGGCCTTACTGGCTGGCTTTTAGTCCAATGCTAGAAGTAAATTTGAGAAAAATCCTTGATTTTCTAATATAATCTTTTATGCTCCATTGAGAGATGATGGAAACTTTGCTACAAATGGCTGGAATAAAATATATTTTAGCAAAACTATTTATCTTCTTCAAACTGGTGTCTTCCAAAACCCACGTTGGCTGTGGATTATAAATGTTAGAATACAAGAGAGCTGAGGGACACCAGATGGGGAAAGGCTGCTGCTCTACATTCAGAAATCAAGTTACATTTTGAATCATTTCTCTATTTACTTTGTACCTGAGTAACCTTGTTGAGGTTCTGGTCTCTGCTATGATTATAAACTGTATTTTCTTATATAAATATTCAGTGAAGTCTATATTCTGTGGATCATATTCTGTAACGAGGAAGAAACTTTTGACCAGATTAGTGAAATGAAGTTAAAACAGCCACTGTATACCTCTATCCCTTCTTTTATTGAAAAGAAGTACAAGTCAGCTGAATGAATCCCTGCTCCCATAAAGAGGATTCTGAGTGCCAGTGATGAACTGTATAAAATGTGACATTAGAGGGCAGCAGAACACTGCCATGTATAATCATCTAGCCAGTCTGGCAGAGCCTTCACCGGAATCAAAGCAGACAGAGCCATT